CTATAAAAAGGAGCTTTATGTTTCTAACCAAATACAATCACCAAAATGATCCCAATTTAAATGGGAAGGCCTTATGGACAACCCAAGGTTCTACTAAATTCAAAACGAATTGGGAAAGAAGTGCAATCACTTAAGTAGTAATCTTATCCAGTAAGAGACTGTAAATTCAAACCAAATGTTTAATAATAAATGCAACTTATATTTATGTAGGGCTATGTGATTGTAAAAAGCTTCCATATACAGTTTCTCATTTGATCATCCCAATAATTCTGAATCTGTAGTAGAAAGCAAACATTTGTAAGTTCATGTCAATGAAGAAAAATAAGGCTTAGCAAGATTTTGTGATTTGCCAAAGGTAATAAATGGCTCCAACAATAATGGAGTTTGAATCTGGTCTTTTGATTTCAAATACCAGGGTTAAGTCAACAACACAAGCACATGTTAGTCTTTTTTTTTTTTCATTTTAAAAACATTAAAAATTTTGAATCAAGGAAGAAGTATTTAAAAATTACATTTCTTCATTAACTATTTAAATAGTGACTACTGTATGCCAACCTCTGGGGAGTCAGAGATCAATTGGGCCATGACTTTAGGGAGCTCATATAAAGATATACAAACGCACACAGGAAACTGTGCAGTGTGGCGTTGTGGGTTCTGTGGTTGATGCTCAATTGCAAGGGAGGATATTCAAAGTCTCCATAAAGGCAGAGACATTCGAGATGAATCTCAAAAGGAATGCAAGGTTTTCCTAAGCAAACAAGCCAGGGAACTGTGAGCTCCCAGAGAATGGCTGGAGCACAGGATGCAAGGGAGGGAGGGACAAAGGATGAGGCTAACCAGCACTCACATCTAGTTTCTTGAATTCTGAATCCAGTGAATTTTCCTTGCTAAACCATAGTTATCTTTCATAAGAGCCAAGAATTATTTTTTAAAAGCAGCATCGAAGTAACTATATAATATCTTTCCTAGACAGAAGGGAAAGAAAAGAATTCCCTGAATATAATGCTTCTATCCTATTTTTCCTAAAAACTGATTCAATAAGTATGTGTTAAAAAAAACAAAGTACGTGTTAAGTCAGCACTATGACTTAAGAGTTACAGGGTGATTTTAAAAAATAAACCATGAAGCTACCAAAGAGAGAAAGAGAGAAAGAGAGAGAGAGAGAGAGAAGGTAGGTGTGGCTGGGTCATAAAGTGCCTTTTTACCACTCTGAGAGTTTAAATTTTATCTTGAAGATAACAGCAAGTCACATTTAGCAGTATATAGATATGATCAGATTCGTACCCAAGATGAGCTCTGGGAAGGCAGAGGAGAATCCAGAAGGGAGGGGCAAGTGTTGAAAGAATTATGATATAAAACTATACTTCAAACCAACGTACCAGACACTAGATAAATAGAAGTTATTCAGAAGTAATTTATCATGAAGGATCAATATATGAAACTGTATCTGAGGAATCAGCAAAGAAATATGCCAATTAGTTGGCTATGAGATCATAGAGTTCTGTAATCTATGAGACAGCGTTTGATTGATTGGGGACCCTCAGGAGATAGCACAGCAAGTGGGCGGTGTGCCCAGACAGATCCCCTTTGAGGACAGTTTTTGAGGAGTCACACCATTGGATGGGCTACTGGGAAATACAGATGTTATCTCTCCCCCCAACTTTTTTTTTTTTTGGACAAAAGGCACATTTTGTCTTTGTTCTATTTGAAGATATATAACTCTTATTTTGAGGTTCTGTAGCCTGAAAAAAGAAAAAGCTGTTTAGAAGGACCTGTGCACTGGGTAGGTTCTTTTTCTTTTAGAAGGACCTATGCACTAGATAGGTTCTTTTTCTTTCCCATGCCTAAGGAATGCCTAGTGGTAGAGGTAGATTCCATACATTGAGGGTCTGCTGTATATAGATTCTTCAAATAGTCATCTAAGGAAGAAACTGACACCTTGCAATAAATGAGGAAGGTCAGGTTTATAGAGTTTCTTGCTCAAATATCTAATCTAGTAAGGGACAGTCTGAGAACCTAGAATTTAATCCTTGATTTCTGATACCCCAACCAGAACTTTTTTTAAAAGATATTTATTTTTTAATATTTGTATATGGTGCTGAGAATCAAACCCAGTGCCTCATGTATGCTAGGCAAACACTTTACCACTGAGCCACAACCCCAGCCCTGCCAACCAGTACTTTTACTTTGGTTTTACTTTTACTCCCACATAGTTGGGTTGCTCGCTATGTGAGAATACTCCCTATGGCCTCAGTGGGGCAAAGCACAGCTCTTCTCAGACCTTGCATGCTTTTCCATTTCTCCTCCTTCCACATCTCAACTTGAATGAGGTGTCCACAGAAAAGCCCTCCCCAAGCACCTAGCTAATTATCCCAGGTTATACTCCACACACTGCTTATTAAATAACGTTTACTCAGGCTCTTTGGAGGTGTGATCGATAACCGAAATTATTTGATTACACGTTTCTTATGTCACATGACTGAAATGTAAGTTCCTGTCAGGACGGCTGCATGCTATATTTTCTGTAACATCCCTAGCACTGAGAAGAGAACCTAGCACATAGCTGGTGCTCAGTAAATATTTGATGACTGACTGACCTGCTGCCTTAGTAACAGCCACAAAGGTGTGTTGATCTGCAGAATGGATAGTGGATCTGGATAACGAATTCTATTTATAGCTTTATATTGTCTTGAAGACTATAGGTGATTGAATAACCTTTCTATATTAACATTTGTAAAATATCTGTAATTTCCAAGAAATTACTAGGAAAGAGCCAAATAACATGCATAAAGCACTTACATCTCTTCTAAACCCATACTAAATTTCACCTTCATCTTCAAAGTCATATTAGAATCAAGATAGAAGGGTAGTTCATTTTTCAAAACACAATTTCCTTTAATGGTAGGTCACAAATTGACTCAGATACTAATGAGTTTCAGACAAATAACTTTTGGCTACTGAACAAATCATGAATAAAAGCAAGCACTGAATATTCACCAGCAGTTATTGCCTGACCATGATGCTCAGGTGCCCTCTAGTGTGTGTAGCTTTTCATCTCAGCTCCTTGCCTCACACATTGTGTGCTGGAGATCTTATCGTGTATTCAAAGTGCATTTTATTTATTCATTTTTATTATAGTTATTAGCATCAAAGTGCATTTTAGTGTATAATCAAGAGATCTATAAAAACAGCAAAAAGACTGGAGCAACTGAATTTAAACGTCAGCAGTTGTGTTTGGAGCCCTGGTGTATAATCAAAAATGCAAGATGGGTCGACCCAATGCAGTCAGGGGATGTGATGCTATTTGGGTTACTTCAAAATTGTGTATTGTAAAAGCCTCTTTCCCCATTTTTACTGTTATTTTTCTATTTAATTTTTAAAAGTTTGCATATAGATATGGTTGAAAAATAAGCGATTTGAAAGTTATAAATTGAAAAGCTATGTTCCCAGGCAGTCCCACTCCACCCATTGCACTTAACCATCTACTTATATAGTCTTCAACAAGTTGTTATAAATATCAAGCAAATAGACATATATTTTTCTTCTCCAATTTTTAAATACTGCACATATGCTGGAGAGTGATATTGGCCAAATTATATTGTTATATTGTGTGCATGTTCAAATATGTAAAACAAATCTCATCAATATGTACAACTATGATGCACTGACAAAAAATGTGGGAAAAATACTGCACACACTGTTCTACACCTTGAATTTTTCTTAATAACAAATCCTGTTAAATTACTTATAAGATAATCTCATTTTTTTTGGCAGCTAGAGTATACTTTGTTGTGTGGATATACCATAAGTTACTTAACTACTTTCCAATTGACAGATACTTGGGTGACTTCCAATCTTTTGCTGTTACAAATAAAGCTGAGGGTTGTGGCCTGGCTCAGTGGGCAGAGCGCTTGCCTAGCATGCATGAGGCACTGAGTTCGATCCCCAGCACCACATAAAATACACAAATAAAATAAATGTAAAACAAATAAAGCTGAAATTAATGATCTTGTACAGGTATGATGTGTAATATTCAGTTAAGGGTAACTGGTATCGCTCTGATATTTATCATTTCTTTATATTGGAAACAGTGTTAGTCAGCTTTCTGTTGCTTTTACAAAATACCTGAGATAATCAACTTATAATGAAGAAAAACTTATTTTGGCTCACAGTTTCTGAGGTTTCAGTCCACGATTGATTGACCCTGTTGCCTTTGAGAAGCACAGCATGACATAGGGCATATGATAGAACAAAGTTGCTCTTCTCATGGCAGACAGGAAGCAAAAGAGACAAAGAGAAAAGGGCAGGGACTGTTCTTTTAAAGGATATGTCCCCTTGTTACCAGGTTACCTCCCACTAGACCTCGCCTAGTTTCCACTTTCTCCCAATAAAGCTAAGCTGGAGACTAAGCATTTGGGGCCTTTGAAAGACATTTCTGATCCAAACTATAGCAGGAACATTCAAAATCCTCTCTACAATCTATTTTGAAATATTTACTTAATTGTTGTCAACATTGGTTATCCTATGTGACACAGCAGCAATCTGCTTTATCAAGTCTCCCAGATGACTCTGATATATGTTAGTATTTGGAAGCCACTGCTCTAGACTAGTGATTCTCAGTCTTGGCTAAACATTAGGATCACCTAGGGAGTGCTAGAGCAGCACAGTCCAGGTGAACTTCATTAGGATTTCAGTTGTTAGCCTAGGACTCAGTATTTTGAAAGTACTCAAGGTGATTCCCATGTGAAGCCAAGGCTGAGAACCACTCCCCTAGTGTATAAACCACTGAGGGCTTTGTTTTGCTTTTAAGAATCTGCAGAATAAGTCCCCTCACTCTAGGAGCATGGGCAGCATACAGAATGTAGTATGGAAGGTTTGTTAACTCCCAAGTTGGTACAATGACTTCATCATCCCCAAAGCAGGTATAGCCAGCCACTGAAAACAAATGCAAATTCCAGTTTGGTGTTTCCAGAAGAGAAGCTTAAGTAGCTACTACGTACCTGCTCTGGGTGAGTTTCCCCCCTTTTTCTGTTGTGAAGTTGAAGATACGAGTCTGTTTTAGGAGAGGGTAATCCCAAAGTCAGCTTGTTTTTTTCCACAAAATATTGCTTGGACTTCCTTCTCCGAGGGCCACGTGATCCTGGCAGGAACACCTCGTTATGTGAACTTGAACTCTTCAGGTACTGAGAGAGGTTGCTTGACTTCTCCTCCATATCACTACTGCTCAGCTCTGAAAATGGCTCTTTGTGTTGGGCACCACTCTCATAGTTTGGGCTTAAAAATTCACTTCCAAGTAAGGAAGTTTCGCTCTGAGAGCTCTTTCTCTGTTTGCCTTTTCCCTCTGAGAGTTCCATTGAAGTCTCCTTGGAAGGGTAGAGTGGATCCAAGGGCAGATTTTCTGAATAACTGGCTGCAGACTCTGGCAATGCTTCCCCCCTCAACAACTGCCCTTCTTCCTTCTTATTCTTCCAATTTGGGTCATAGCGGAGGTCTGAGTATTTGTCTTCTATAGGTTGTTGGCTGTCCAAAACAGAAAAGAAATGGCAAGTCCTTAGTCCAGATAATTCACTCACTGTATTCAGTTGATCGTTTCATTTGAAATTAATCTCAATCTTTCTCCTCTAATTTCCTTCTTACTGTGTATATGTTAAAGATGTATCTCAGGCTCAGATTAGAACCATGCACTACACATAAGCACAAAAAGGTTAATTACTCAATTTTATTGAAATATGGAATAAAAGTGGAAGACAATTCTAAATGCCTGAAAACAAAATGTCTTCCACATTAAGCAATGAATCCCTATTGTTCAGAGAAATATACACAAAAAAATATACACAAAAATGATCCAGTATTTCAGCTAGTGAGGATAAAATCATAATCATAATTTAGCTGGTAATGCACACATTTGGCTATTCATCTAGGAAGGGAAATATGGATTGTTGCCTAGACATCATTTGTCTTAGCCTCCTCCCTTTGGGAGGAAAGCCAGAATTTATCTCAATTTAATATCTACGGAGGTTTATCCTTCTTCTCAGTAATTTTGCTTTCCATATCATATTGTGGATTTTATCAAATGTATTATAGAAAGATCCCCATAGCTTAGAATCAGAATGCGACTCACTGAAAGGTTCAGTCTCTTGCTTGTCAGGTCTGTGCCCACAAAACTCAGAAGACATGTCAGTGTGTACTTGATACTATAGGAGGGCCCTAACTGAATGAAAGGTTAAGCAGAAGGTCCTGCCAGTGGGAAGAACTAGTTCTTAATGCGTGCAGATGACCCCAAATAAAGTCCTCCCTTTTCTCCATGACAATCTCAATTTGTAAAGTATCCTCTAGTCTTAACCAAAAAAGAAAAAAAATATGCTGGTAATATGGCATATTTAATGGCCTCTTTGATCTTCAAAAGCTAAATGGGAGAGATTTTCCTTCCTTGAGTACAGTGGATGCAATCCTGTAATCAAAAAGAAAATGTAAATCACTCCAGCTTTTTATGCTATTTGATATTCCCGTTTACAGAAGATGTAATTTTATGCTGGGTAAACAAACTAATGGTCCCCCTAATACTAACTTACTCTTCTTAATGTGAACTTTGATTTGGTGGAAAGCAAAAACTGAAGGAAAAGCCAAAATTCCCATGTCTTGCTAAATTTTCACTTTGAATTTTTTGGTTTGCATATTAGGATGGAAAACTTTTGAAATAGTCCTCTAGCAAAATGTTTGAGAGGGAATGATCCATTTATCAGGAAATGGGATGTCAAACTGTGTCCCACTATGTCCTGAGCATTACAGGATGACCTGCCCCCAGGCTTTGATGGGGTGGTTTCTCCTGGGTGCCATCCCTATGAACTCGCAGTGTTTCTTGCCTGGCCTGGCCTGTCACCTGGATATTTAAGAGTTGGCACAGGCACATGGACAATGGCATGGTCCAGCAGAGCCCAAACTGGACTTGGACCAGACACTGGTGGCTCAAGTTCTGGATGTGCCCCTACCTCTTATGTGTCAGTTGCCAATTCATGTCATCTTGGAGCCAGTTTCTTTCATCTCTGAGAAGTTATATTCATTTTGTTTTGTTTATTTCTTAAGAATGCATAAGGATCAACAGTGTCTCTTACAGGGCTCTGTGTTGGTTCTTATTTCTGGTAAACTTGTCTCCTCACCTAGGGGAAGATCAGGGCAACAGGGCCTATTGGTTATCTTCCTTTTCTTGTCTCTGCCCCAGTATGCTGCACCATGCCACGGACATAAGAATTCTAGAATAAATAATTGCATCTCTAAAAATACTCTAGTCAGCACAAATAAACATTACATATTTGTTTTTTAAAACCAATAGTAATAAATTAGAATCTAAACATGCAGGAGCTTCTTGCATTGGGCCAAATTAGTGAATGATTGGGCCAAATTAGTGAATGACTTTAGAACTTATCTTGCACTGAGCAAAACACAAAGTTCATCTGTGGCTGTTTAGCAGATGTGAGGGTGACATAGACACCTGACACTCCACTGACTGGCAAGGTTGATTTGGCCAAACTGGCTGGCCAAGTAGGTGTCCCCTTCCTTTCTCACCACTCCAGGTATAGCCCTTCCAATGCATGTGCTCCACTGAAGAGGATGACCTTCCCACTAGAGGAGGCCAGTTCTTTTGTCAAGGGTATATGAACCCTGCTAGAACCTCCAAATAGGCTCTCAACTGTGGTCTTTTAGGTACAGAAGAAAGCTCAACTATTATCTTCAGGTAAATAAAAAAATTTTAATAAAGAAATGTGCTGTTTGCCCATGTCCATACTATAATGAAAGGAAAAACTGAATTTGACTCTACTCTTTATTCATTAGGAAACTCATGAATTCAGTAAATACTTACTTATTAAGCACTTGCTAAGCCAGGGGGATATGGAGGTAAATGACACAGTGCTGGACTCACAGACCGGAGTGGGTAGAGACAAGCTAACAAGCAGCTTACAATGTGGAGGGATGTCTGCTCTGATGAGAGGCATGGGGCCATCAGGTCTCAGTGGGAACATCCACTCCTGTCTCAGGAAATTGGGAAGAACTTTCAGGAGGAAGCGATGGCACTGCTGAGACCTAAGGCTAAAGAAGCATGTGCTAAGCTGAGGGAACAACATGTAAAAAGGAATGGAGGGGAGAGAGAATGTGGTGTTTTCCAGGAACAACTTCTGAATGAATAAAGTGGAGGGTGTCGGGAAGGAAGGCTGAAGAACAGAGCTCAAGGTCAAGCAGAGGTCGGATCTTGAATGACTTTGCAAACTCTATGAAAGCATCTGGGCTCCATAAATTGATTTGTAAGTTTAGTTGGAGAGAAGAGATTTTAGAAAACATTTCTGGACAACCAGAGCATTGAGTTTCTGTTATACACTAGTCCTCTAGTTTTCACTGCTTAGAACAAGGATGGCCACCTCTCAAGGTGACAACCCTGGGCATCACTGTTCTGCCACTCAGTAGGGAGAGGGATGTAGAAAGACAGCACATTACATTGTATGTTGATCTCAAGGAATGCTTGCAGTGAATCCCTAATTTTTGCCTTAGAACAACTTGAGGGAAGTATAGTACTATTATTATTATCCTCATTTAACTGATGAAGAAACTAAGGCTGATAGAGCTTTTCTAAGTCTCCCAAGGCCACAGAGCAAAGGAGTGGTAGAGCCAGGATACAGACCCTGGCAGTCTGCTCTGGTTCCTGGTTCTTGTCCATTAAGTAGCAATAGATGCCACAGCATTTCCCATAGGTGGGCGTGAAGCAAACTTGGTGCAGTGTCTGCCTTGGGTGAGTCAGAGAATTGCTCAGTAAGCCAGCAATAGATATCTATGGAGGACCTCCCTGTGTATAGGCAGAATGTTAGGCACAAAAGATAAAGCAGTACATAAAAGAGAAGCAGGCTGGTGGATCCTCTCCTTCAGTGAGGAGGACAGGCTTTATGCACCAACTGTAATGAATGAGGAAAGATTTAAACAGGATGCTGTAAGTATTTCCAATAGGAAGACAGGGCTGGATACAGAGCTCATTGGTAGAACATTTGCTTAGTATGCATGAGGGCTTGGGTTCCATCTGCAGCACTATAACAACAACAACAATAATAATAAATAAAAATAAAATAGGAGGAAATAACCTTGTTTATCACTGAAAATGTTAACCTCTTATTTCCAGATTCAATTGCTAGATGATATCTCAAGTCTATTTCAAATCCATTGTTCTATAATTCTATGATAGACTGACAAGATAATCAATAACTGAGTAATGTCCACTATTTTTTCAATAAGTAATTGCCATAATGTGAATTTAAAGTGTCTCTCAAAGGCCCATAGGGTAAAGGCTTGTTGCCAGCCTGTGACATTATTGGAAGGTGGTGGAACCTCTAAGAGGTGTGGCCTAGAGGAAGGAAGTTAGGTCACTGGATGTGTGCTCTAGAAGGGGATATTGGGACCCTGCTCCTTCCTCTCTCTCTCTGCTTCCTGGCTGACATGATATGAACAGCGATCCTCCGCTGCGTGCTCCTGCCATGAGGCACTGTCCCTCCACAGAGCCAAAGCAACAGGGCCAAATGACTGAACTGAAGCCTCTAAAAGTATGAATCACAATAAATCTTTCCTTCTTATAAGTTGTTTATGTCAGGTATTTTGTCACAGTGATAGAAAGCTGACTAACAGTAACTTTCAACAGTTGAAGGAAATGGATTTCTGATTTTCTCATCTGCAGTTACACCAAAATTAATATACTGAGACTAGTCATCATATTTTACCAGTATCAGCAGAAAATGGCATCATGTCTACAGACATGGCTAAAGACTTTCCTCGATCACATGCAATGATCATGGTGCTTTGTTTCTATGAATGATGACATGGAATACTGTGGTTCTGAGAAATGGTTTAGCAGAGTGTCAAAGGACAAGCGTCCTAGAATCAGCTGCCTACACTGAATTCCTGGTGTCACCAGTTGCTATGTGAACATGGGAAAGTTATTTAATTAACTTTTGTGTTTGCACTGAGTCACAGTCAGTAAGGGCTAGCTATGAAAGCACCTGTCAGTGAGCTGTTACTGGTCTCTGCTTGCTGCGTGACATTCAGACACCATAGCATGGCTTTGTTGTTGTGTACTGTGCTTCCTGCTGATGGATCTCCAGGGATCCTTGTCTCCCCAAGGCTTCAGGTATTTCCAGGGAACAAAGCTATCTTGTGATACTATAAGTGTTACTCTAGTAGCCTGAAAGAATTAACACCCATCTTTAAAAATCCAATTTTTAGTTGTGACTTAGGCATTGTGGAGAATGTATGAATCATAACTTAGGACATGGGATTGAGAAATGTCAGTGTTTCCATGAGACAAAACATTCTGACAGCTGCTGAAAGGTGATGAAGAAGATGAAACTGGGAGAATTAAATTATTTTAGAATTTCCACGAAAGTTGTAGTCTCTAATCTCAATAGATTTCCTTTCTCAAGAGGCTACAAAAGCAATATCACATGCTATAGAAGACTAATGTTTTAAGTGGAACCTGGAAAATACAGAAA